AATTTTAAATATATATACAACCAAGCAGATTCACAAAGCAAATATTACTAGATCTAAAGAGACAGACTACAAGATAATAGTAGGGTACTTAAAATACCTCTCATAGCATCAACAGAAAATCAATAAAGAAATATTGGACGTTAGACTGCATAGACTTAACAGACATTTACCAAACACTCTACCCAACAATTGCAGAATGTACATTAGTATCATCAGCACATGGAACAATCTCCAAAATAAGACTATATGTTAGACCACAAAACAAGTCTTAGAAAATTTCTGAAAATCAAAATCATATAAAGTATCTTCTTAGACTACAGTGGAATAAAACTATAAATCAATACAATATATAAATGCATGGAAATTAAGCAACATGCTCCCAAATGACCACTGATAAAGAAATTAAGATAGAAATTTAAAAAGAAACTTGAAACAAATGAAAATGTACACACACCATACTAAAACTGTTGGATACAGAAAAAGCAGTGCTGAGAGGAATTTATAGCCGCAAATGCTTACATCAAGAAAACAGAACAATTAAAAGATAACAATCCAACAACAAACCTCAAGGAACTAGAAAAGAATAAACCAATCCCCAAATTAGAAGAACAAAAAAGAAATAACAAAGATCAGAACCAAATTAAATAGAAACTAATAAAACAATACAGAAGATTGATGAAATGAAAGGTTGGTTCTTTGAAAAGACATACAAAATTTATAAACCCCTAGCTATACTAACCTGATGAGAGAAGACCAAATGAGATGAGAGAAGACCAAATAAACAAAACTGGAAATGAAAAAGGAGACATTACAACTGATATTACAGAAGTACAAAGTGATTGGAAACTATTATAAACAATTATACTGTCAGAAAATAGAAAACCTAGAAGAAATAAATTCTTGGAAGCATACCACCTGCCTAGATTGAACCAGGAAGAAACAGAAGAAATGAACAGACTAACAGTGAGTAGTGACATTGAACCAGTAATACAAGGTCTCCAACAAAGGGAAGCCCAGGACCAAATGGACTCACAGCCAAATTCAACCAACATATAAAAAAGAACAAACACCAATTTTCCTGAAACTGTCCTGAAACTCAAGGATAGTATTCTCTCTAACTCATTTTATGAGGCTAGTATAGTCTGATATCAAAAACAAGCAAGACCATAACAAGAAAGGAAAACTACAGACCAATATCCATAATGAACACAGACATAAAATTCTTCAACAAAATAAACCAGCAAACTGAATCCAATAGAACATCAAACAGATAACTGTAATTGAGTGGGTGTAATACAAAGAATGGACGGATGGCTTGCATGCAAATCAATAAATGTGATATATCACATGAACCAAATCAAGAACAAAAACCATATGATTATCTCAACATATGTAGAAAAAACATTTGATGAAATTCAGCATCCTTTTATGATAAAAACCCTCTACAAATTAAGACATAAAAGGAACATACCTCAAAATAATAAAAGCCATACAGAAGACACCCATAGCTGACATAGTGAATGGGGAAAAGATGAAAGCATTTGCTCTAAGGACTGGAATAAGGCAAGAATTCTCACTTTTACCACTCCTATTCAACATAGTACTAGAAATTCTGGCCAGAACAATCAGGCAAGAGAAATAAAAAAAAAAAAAAGGTATGCAAACTGGAATAAAAGAAGTTAAATTATACCTGCTTGCTGATAATGACTTTATATCTAGAAAGCCCCAGACTCCATTAAAACTCTTTTGATAAATGAATTCAATAAAGTTTCAGGATACTAAAATCAGTGATCAGTCATCACCAATAACTATCTAGCTGAGAAAGAAACCAAGAAGGCAAATCTATTTACAATAGCAAACAACAACAAAACAAAACACCTAGGAGTAAGTTTAACCAGGAGGTGAATAGATTTCTACAAGGAAAACTACAAAATACTGATGAAAAAGAAGTTGAAGATGAGACAAACAAATGGAAAAACAACACACGCTCATGGATCAAATTAACACTGTTACAAAGGTAATACTGCCCCTCAAAAGCTACAGATTCATTGCAATCCCTATCAAAATACCAACATCATTTTCATAAAATTAGAAAAAACAATCCTAAAATTTAAATGAAGCAATAAAAAGAGCCTAAATAGTCAAAGCAATTCTAAGCAAAAAGAATAAAGCTGGCAGCAACATATTATCTGACTTGAATTTATATTACAAGACTACAGTAACCCAAACAGCATCATACTGGTCTAAAAATAAATCCATAGATCAGTGGAATAGAATAGAGAACCCAGAAATAAAGCCACATACTTACAGCAATTGATCTAAAGCTGACAAGAATAGGAGAGGACACCCTCTGTATTAACAGTGCTGGGAAAGTTGGACAGCCATATGCAGAAGAATGAAACTGAGTCCCTATCTCTTATCATCTACAAAAATCAACTCAAGGTCATTTAAAGACTTAAATATAAGACCCCAAACTAAGACCTATGTTTTTTTTCTTTTTCTTAGGAGACAGTTTCACTATGTTGCCTAGGCCAGTCTGGAACACCTGGACTCAAGTAATTCTCCTGCCTCAGCCTCTTAAGTAGCTAGGACTAAGACTCAAAATTATGAAAATACTAGAATAAAACCTTAGGAAAAGTCTTCTGTACATGGGTCTAGGCAAAGAATTTATGACTAAGACCTCAAAAGCATAGGCAACAATGACAAAAACAGCTTCTACAAGCAAAAGAAATAATCAACAGAGTGAAAAGACAACCTGTTGAATGGGAGAAAATATCTTCAAACTATTCATCCAGCGGGGGACTAATATTCAGAATGCACAAGGAACTCAAATACATGTAACTCACCAAAAAATTTCCCAAATGATACCATTTAAAAAGTGGGCAAAGGAAATGAATATATTTTTCAAAAGAAAATATACAAATAGCCAACAAGTATATGAAAAGATGCTCAATGTTCCTAATTATTAGAGCAACACAAATCAAAAGCACAATGAAATATACCTGTCAGAATGGCTGTTATTAAAAAGACAAAAAAAAAAAAAACAGGTATTGGTAAAGATGTAGAAAAAAAGCAAACTCTCGTACACTCCTGGTGGGAACATAAATTTAAGTACAGCATCTGTGGAAAATAGTATGGAGATTTCTCAAAGAATTAAAAATAGAAGTCCCATGTGATCCAGCAATCCTACTACTGGCTCTCTACTCAAAGGAAAATAAATCAGTATGTCAAAAAGATACATGCACTCACATGTCTATTACAGTGCTATTCACAAAAGCAAAGATATGGAATCAACCTATGTGTCCATTAACAGATGAATGGATAAAGAAAATGTGGTATATGCACAATGGAATACTATTTGGCCATAAAAAGAACAAAATCATGTCTTCTGCTGCAACATGGATGGGACTGGAGGCCCATTATCTTAAGTGAAACAAGCTAGGCACAGAAAGACAAATACAGCATACTCTCACTCATAAATGGGTGCTAAGAAACGTGTTCACACGGACATAGAGAGTGGAGTGATAATGGAGAATTGAAAGGGTAAGAGGGAAGAACAGGGAGGATGATGAGAAATTGGTTAACAGGTACAATGTAAGTTATTCTGATAAAGGACACCCTGAAAGCCCTGACTTGATCACTATGCTTATCTATGCATATAAAAAATACCACATTAACCCATAAATTTGTATAAGCAAACAGGGAAAAAAAAGAATTGGAAATGTTAACTATGTCTACCAATGGAATATTATATAGATAATAAAAATTACATGGTTTATAGAAATTTATAAAAGCAAATATCTCTGATTTTATACATATGCCTGTATGTATACATGTGTGTGTGTAAATTCTATATATCTATTCCATACCTGCATTATTCTAAAATATCTGAAATATTGCGGTAAATATGTTCTGTCTGTTATTAGGTCAATTGGTATCAAAACACTGTTACATGCCCATATAATGAACTAACTGTTAATAGGTTAAAAAAATAAGCACTGGCAAAAAAGTCCTCCATCAGGACCACCTTCATGAAGGTCTAGTTAAAACCAGAAGCTTAACTGCCACAAAAAGGAAGTCTTCACCCCTTAAAGGAAGCTACATTTATTCTAGCCTGGTGACCAAGTTCTCCTTATAACTTGAAGGGAAGGACATGGGGAAAAATACTAAGAAAAGTGGACTGGTCCCTGGGATGCCCCAGTCATCATGCTTATGGCCATCCAATTGGCTGGAGTAAAAGGCTGGGCATTTCCTTCTCACATCAAGCCTTCTCCCCCTCAGTAAACCATAAACCTGAGCCCAAACAGTGGAAAAAAAATGTATTGACTCTTAAAAATAATCAATAGGTGGCACCTATGGCTCAAAGGAATAAAGGGCCAGCCCCATATGCCAGAGGTGGCAGGTTTAAACCCAGCCTCTGGCCAAAAACTGCAAAAAAAAAAAAAAAAAAAAAAGAATGTAACTCTCCTATACATACAACAATCCCAACTTTACTGAGTTAAATTTCTTACACTTTTTCATATGCTCTAACATTAAGGTATTGTTCCCAGTTTCTTATCTCATTATATAAAATTAAAATGCTTCCAATAAAAAGGAATAAAAAATCCAGTATAGTCAAAAAAGAAGGCAATAAAAAGTAAAAGTCAAAATCCTACTCTCTAAAACAACAATTAAAAGCCTACAAATTTAAATTGCAAACAATGAAAATTATAAAAGTTCAAATTCTCATAGCAACATTCACTTACTCTTGAATAGAGAGCTTGGATTTTTATTTTTCTAAACTATTTGAGAATTTTATTGCATTTAAATCAAGACACAATCGTTAGGTTATTCTAAAACAGAACATCTGCAGTAAGTAAAAATTATTCTGAAAACATTTACAATTTTCACTCCTGATATAAATGCTCAAATTTGCAACATTAGTTAATGTTACATACATTCAGATTTACAGTCAGATCACATGAGCAAAACATAGCAATTTTCCTAGTCTACCACATTACCTAAAGACCAACTTTCCTGGACCTCGGCTCTTCTTAATTTTCACTGACCGATGTTGTCTCTCTGAAGTCTGGCATCAGACAAGTTGATTTGAAGAGTTAATTTAGGATATTTTTGAAATGTCAATAAAACTGCACTAAACTTTAAATTACATAGAGTATTTATATGCTAACCTACGATAAAGAAAAAATAATTTTAGATACTTGTCAGGATTTCATTTTCATTTTAATTCTAATGTCAGGACAGTGAAATTTGCAATGGGAATGGAAGCAAGGGAGAAGGTAGGAGAGCAAGGTTAAGGGGGTGGCAGCCAGACAGTGCTGGGTCCCACCTGCAGCATCATCACCAGATCTTCGGGTGATCGTGCTGAACATTACTATAGATGTGGAAGGCATGCAGGGGGGATGGCAGTAAAAGGTAATCCAGATAGTGAGGAATAAATGACAAAGAGCTGCCCATCTGTCCAAGACACTTAATACTACTTCACCAGAGCAGTGTGAATCGTGCAGGCCACATACTATGCTCAGGCACTCACGGGGAGCAACAACATCAACAGTGTCAGATTCAAGGACTAGACACGTGGTGATTGGAAGACTTAACAAAAATAGAAAATGCATTAACACTCCAAATGCCCACTGTAGCTACCACATGAATGCTGTTCTGCTTTAGATATCTCGATTGCATTGTATGGACTTCAATGGCATGAAATTTGAAAATTTCATTGAGAAACAACTAACATTTGTGAACCCAAACTGAAGATATGTAGATTTGGTTAAGAATTTTAATTATTTATCTGATAAGCATCAATTAAAGATAGACAGAGAATATATAACAGAATCTAATTCAGTTATCAGTCACTAAGAACTAAAATTCAGAAATAAAGGCAAAACTTTTTTGAAATTATTATGTAAGATACATGGGAAATTATTTGACTATAACAATTCAAGGCTCGTTGCCTGTAGCTCAGTGGTTAGGGTGCCGGCCACATACACTGAGGCAGGCGGGTTTGAACCCAG